CTCTCTTTGTTCTGGCCGAGCTGGCTGGGGTCTTAACCTAGCTCTGGCCTGTGTTTCAACCGGCTGTGCTTGGAAATAAAGAGACCTTAATCCAATACCAGGCCTTTAAAGAAAGTGCATTATCTACAACTAATTGTTATGTTTGACCTTTTCAGTTTTTAAGAGTTTTTTTGAAACAGGGTCACAATCTCATACAGTCATCAAGCTGGCTTCCAACTCATTATGTAGCCAAAGATGACCTTGACATGTGTGATTCTCAAGCTTTTGCGTCCCTCCACTCAAGTGCTGAAGGTTTAAACCACCATGCCCAGCCATTCTCTTACCTTCACTTCCATCCTTTCCATAATGTAAACTGTATTTTCTGTACCTCCTAATTTACCCATACTTTCTTCATAATTTGTCATATTACTGAAAGGAAACCAAGTTCTCAGCAGAAAGTAGATTTGCCTCACAGGGACAGAGGGTAGGGAATGAGAGACAAACACAGGAGGTAAGAGGGTGAGGGAGAAGGGGAAGGAAACAAGGGAAAGGGGGCAGGTATATTTGTCCCAGAGGGACAAAGGACTACCTTTGGATAGAGAGGAGACAGATGTGGCACATAGGAAAATGGCTGTTTATAAAGGTACTAGGGGAAATCTCATGTTAGGATGAGGTGTTTAATATGAATTGGGTATGCTAATTAGGTGACCCAAGGGGTGGGGGTTGATTTCTGGATTTCAATACTTTGATAGGTGGATCTTGAAGTCAGCCTTGGTGGGGTGGGGGGGAGAGCATTGGCCAAATAAGGGGCTGGACATTGGTGGCTAGATTTAGAAATGTAACAGTTTTTAGCAAGGCAGAGGGAATTGGGGAGAAGGGCAAGGCCTGCCAGAGCCATGCCTGCCACACTCGAACTGGCTAGAGTCCCTTCAATGACCACTTTTACTTCTTTTTCTTTGCGAGTCTAATGTAGCTGGTGCTGGCCTAGAACTTGTGAAGTCCAGGATGACTGTCTTACCTTCCTACCGCCATTTCCCAAATGCTGGAATTACAGGCCTGCACAACCACCTTCCCACCCAACTGTTTTTCTATTGACTTCAAACAGCTTACCTCCAAAACCAAGTTCAACTTCACTGTCTTTATGTCATTGAACTGTTTTACCACCATTGAGAAAACCTGACACAAGATTTGTGCAGTTACCTTTTCTCCCTAAAAGTCTTTATCTGAAATACCTCACGTCTGTAATCCAGGAATTTGGGAGGGTCAGGCAGTACAGCCTTGATTTGGGAGACAACTAAGGATACAAAGTCACTACATAGCTTAGGCTTGGTAAGACACTGGGGTCCTGTGGGGAGGCCCAAGCCTTTAATTCCAGCAACACAGGAGGTAGAGACTAGGGATCTCTGCAAGTCCAAGGCTATCCGGTCTATATAGCGAGTTACGGGACATCCAGGGCCACACAGACCCTATCCTTCCCTCAACCCCTCCATTATCGACCTCGTCTAAAAGACACACGGTAATAACTGACACCTGGACACCTGGCAACCAGAGCACCTCTGGCCCAGCAAACCGGGCTGCAAGCGCAGCGGCTCACGAGTTTTTATTCAAAACTGCGTGAACCAGACGATGCCCTAGAGATTGGGAACCGAACCCTGCTGCACACATTTATTTAGGGGTGCCCATATCCAGGGGTGCATCCTTCAAGCTGAATAAACGGTCAGAGAGAACAATGCCTCAGGACAAGATGGCGCCCGCCGCGAGAAGAGGCCTGAGGACAAACTCGCGTGCACTGGAGCGTCCAATAAAGGTTACGGTTAAGTCCCGAGCCCGCTTTCTCCACGCCCGTCACACATGCGCTCCAGGGCCTCGGTCAGGTGCCAAGGACGCAGGCGCAGGAGGCTCCTCCTTCTGCGCAACTGACGCTTGCTCTCTTCTATTTTTTCATACATATTTGATCACTGAACCATTGTCCTTGTAGTGATATCCAGTAACACTTTCCTAGACATGCATCATATATGCTATGGTTAATTTTTGTCAACTTGACACAAAATTGAGTCACCTGGGAAGAGGGACCATCAGTTCAGGAATAGCCTCTATCAGATTCACTTGGGAACATGTCTATGTGCTATTTTCTTGATTAATGTTTAGTGTAGGATGTTGCCACCCCTAGGCAGAGGCTCTTGATTTGAATAAAAAGACAGGCTGAGCAAGCAAATGGAATTCAAGCCAATAAGGACCATTCCTCCATGGCTTCTGCTTCCCTTCCCGCCCTCCACCCCTTTTCCCCCCCCCCCCCCCCCCCCCCCCCGCGCCCCCCGCCCCCCCCCACTCCCAGGTGAGGAACTGCCATGCCTTCCGGAAGGGGCTCCAGGCCTCGACCTGAGTGGGGCAGGCCTTGCCCTTCGGGGTCAGACCCTAGGAGAAATCCGGAGCGAAGAAGGTTAACGGGCCCTCGGCGGTCCGTGCTGCTGGCCTTATTGAGGGCTCTAACCTCGAGCTCTGCTGAGTCACAATCCCTGGTGTTCTGGAGTATTACCCCACGGATTCACGAGGTGGTGGTCCTGACCTAACGTGGCTCATTGGATGTGCTTGGGCTCAGGCAATGGGTGTAGTCTATTGGAAGGCAGAACTATACGTTAGCTTCTGTTTCCTTGAGCCCCCCTTTTGGGGGTGGGGTGGCAGGGTCTCTCTTTAGACCCGCTGGCCGAGAACGTAGACCTCACAGAGAGCCGCCCATCTCTGCCTTCCCGGAGCTGAGATTTAAAGTGTGCACCACGCCTGACTCCATCCTTAGAGACATTTTTTTTAATGCCTTTTGTTTAGTCCTGGATTAAATAGAACAGAAAAAAGATAGTAGATCTTGATCTAAAGTACGTCTTTGGAGAACAAGACCTGTAGCTCTCCAAAGTAAGGCCACTAAGTGTTCCAATACCTTGGAGTACGCACTTAGGTCCAGCTGTACACTGCTGTGAGACAGGGTCTCACTATGTAGCCTTTGTTATCCTGAAAGTTGTCTAGGCCAGGCCTGCCTCTGGGTTGCAAGTGTTGGGATTAAAGATGGTTGCCACCAGAGCTGGCAACTGTGAAATAATTTTGAATTTTTTGAATAATGATTTCGTAATCAGATCTTCCCCAGCAGAAGTTGTTCCCCCCACCCAGGGAGAGTTTTGGGGGAGGCACTTGGGGCTTCCAGGTTGTCATGACTCTCAGGGACACCTAATTACCCCCCCCCCCCCAAAAAAAAGCAGGGTTTCTCTGTGGCTTTGGAGGCTGTCCCTGGAACTAGCTCTTGTGGACCAGGCTGGTCTCGAACTCGCAGAGATCCTCCTGCCTCTGCCTCCCAAGTGCGGAGTGCCGTTGCTGAGATTAAAGGCCTGTGCGGCCACCGCCTTTCAGGCTTGTTCTTAAAGGCCAGAGTTGCTTCTAAGCATTCCACATTTCAGCTTGTCAGATATTAGTGCAAGATCAATAGTGTCAAAGTTGAAAAATCTATTGCAATGTAGGGGTTTTTTGTTTGTTTCAAATTCTAGTTTTTGGGTGGTTTTTTTTGTTTTGTTTTTGTTGGTTTTTTGTTTTTTGGTTTTTTTTTTTTTTTTTTTTTTGAGACAGGGTTTCTCTGTGTATCGTGTAGCTCTGGCTGTCCTGAAATCCACTATGTATGTAGACCAGGCTGGCCTTGAACTCAGAGAGATCTGCCTACCTCTGAGTTCTGGAATTAAAAGACTTGTGCCACCATGACTTCCTGGATGTTTTTGTTTTCATAATTTAAGAAAATTTTACAATTGTTTGTAATTTAAGACAATTTGCTTATTTTTATGTGACAGTCTGGAAACTTGTAGTTATGTGGTAGACATGTAGATACATATCCCTATATATCTTACATACTAAGGACTTCTCATTGTGTGCTTTATATAGGCCCAAGTTTACTTGTATAGTTCATGGCTGATGCAATTTTTTACCCCCTGCAGGATGGCTGGAATGGCCTTAGCCATGAGGCTTTTAGATTTGTTTCAAGAAGGGATTATGCGTAAGTATAACTTAAGTTTCTTTTGGGAGAAAACACATTAACACATTGAACCATATAACTGATCTGTATGTTTTTAAATAATTTCCCTCTGTAACTTTATGTATTTGTAGTTTAAGAAACATAACCACTGTTGACATTAAAATAAAACAGTTCTTCCTATTATGTTGGGGACTGCTGTTAAGATAACCATGGTATTATTTTAAATTTCTTACAGGTCAGAGGCAATTAAGGGTGCAGTTGTTGGTATTGATTTGGGTACTACCAACTCGTGTGTGGCGGTTATGGAGGGCAAACAAGCAAAGGTGAGAGTGATTGGAAGCCTGGGGTCACTTAGGTATCCATTCTGCTTAGGAATGATGAATCTGAGCTGGGCACCTTTAGCATGGGGAGTCTCTTGAATTTGAGGTCAGCCTGGGCTATAAAGAGAACCCCTGTCTCAAAACAAACAAACAAACAAAAAACAATGCTGAATCCATTTTGGTGCTGGTTTTTCTTTTGAGATACTATATATCCTAGGCTATCCTCAAATGTGGGTTATTCAGTGCTAACATTACAGGCATTAGCTACTCAGGCTTAAAGCTGCTTTTTATTATTTTTAGGCTTAGGAATTAGCCTTTGGATATTGATAATTGAATGAACACAACTTTCTAGAGTAGGATTTAAATGTGTTCTTAGAGGTAGAGGTGATAAAGTCATTAGAGAACTTGAAGAGGCTTGCTCTGGAGTCCAGCAGACATTATGCGGGCCTCCTCAGAGTACACAGACCTTTTCCTGGAATTCTACACTTGTGTCTGTTTTGCGGTTTTTGTTTGTTTGTTTGTTTTTTGAGCATTGATTGGTGTTTTGCCTGCATGCATGTCAATGTGAGGGTGTCAGATTCCCTGGAGTTACAGAGAATTGTGAGTTGCCATGTGGGTGTTGGGAACTGAACCCAGGCCCACTGAAAGAGCAGCCAAAGTTCTTAACCACTGAGACATCTCTCCAGTCCCCATGTCTGTTCATTCTTGCCCCTTGTGTCTTTTCCCATGCCCTCCCTCATCTGAAACAACTTGGGCTATTTAGAGGAGTCTGGCTTGTTTGACACCAAGAGAATAGAAGCCCTTCCTAGGCTTCTATGCTGCTTATCTCCCCCCCCCCCCATTTTCTGAAACTTTAGCTTCCACATACATTTAACAAGCTGAGGCATATTCACGGTGGTGTGGCCATAGACTTGTACACATATTTGAAGTGATACTGTGTAGCATTCCCAGCAGTAAAACAAGGCACCCTTTCACATTTGTTTTATGATTTGAGCTGTGGTTGTATCTTAAATCACTGCTATGAAAATGCCAGTGATGACTAGTACCTTAATCATTATTTTTGGGAATTTTAGGTCCTGGAGAATGCTGAAGGTGCCAGAACTACCCCTTCTGTTGTTGCCTTTACAGCAGATGGAGAACGACTTGTTGGCATGCCAGCAAAGCGACAGGCTGTCACCAACCCAAACAATACATTCTATGCTACAAAGCGTCTAATTGGACGTCGATATGATGACCCTGAAGTACAGAAAGACACGTGAGTAATAGGAAAAACAGAGTGCTTTGATCGAGATCCTGTGAACATCTTAATCACTTTCATCATTATTCTGGGAGAAATTCACATCTCCACCAAAAAAGTAAACAGTTTTTAAAAGCCCATTTATGCTTTCACAAATTTTTAGTTTTGATTCGAATGGCAGATAATATATTAAGATACATTAAGGTTTGTGAGACATTCCTAAACAATGTTTGTCATCATCAGTTGTGTGAGGCTGGTAATGGCATGTGTTATATCCTGTGTCCTTAAGTTATATACTTGTGGATATGCACTGTCCTTTGCTTATTATTATATTATTATTTGTTTAAGGCAGGACAGGGTTTCTCTGTGTAGCCCTGACTGTCCTGGAACTCAGAGATTTGCCTGCCTCCGCTTCCTGAGTTCTGGGATTAAAGGTGCATGCCACCATGCCTGGCTAAACTTTTATTTATTAACATTTTGTTTGTGAATGTGTCATCTTCCCTTACATGAGTGGGGGTCAGAGTACACCTTGCAGGATTCTGTTCTTTTCTTCTACCATGTAGGTTCTGAGCATTGAAGATAAGGTCGATAAGAGCCTTTACTTGCTAAGCTTATTTTGTTTATTTTGGGTTTTCGAGACAGGGTTTCTCTGTAGACCAGGCTGTCCTCAAACTCACAGATCCACCTGCCTCTGCTTCCTGAGTGCTAGGATCAAAGGTATGTGCCACCCCTGCCTGGACGGTTTTGCTTTTTTTATTGAGGGTTTTGTTTTAAGATTTATTTATTATGTATACAGCATTCTGTCTACATGTGTGTGTGCAGGCCAGAAGAGGGCAGCAGATCTCATTACAGATGGCTGTGAGCTACCATGTGGTTGCTGGGAATTGAACTCAGGACCTCTGGAAGAGCAACCAGTGCTCTTAACCACTGAGCCATCTCTCCAGCCCTTGTTTTGTTTTTTAAATAGAGGCTGGAGATGCTAAGCAGTTAAGAGCACTGGTTGCTCTTCCAGAGGATCTGGATTTGATTCCTAGCACCCATATGCTAGCTCACAACCATCTGTAACTCCCAATTCCAGGGGATGTGACACCTTCTGGCCAGGCTTGTACAGACTTGTAATAAAGACTAAAACACAGCATACATAAAATAAGTTTTTTAAAAAATGTAGCAAACTAGGGTTTGCTATTTTGTGAATTTTTCTTGGGAACCTTCTATGTTAAGCTCTGGATGGAATACGAATTTTATGAATGGAGTTAGGTGTAGACCTGGTTGACTTCTTCAAGTTACTATATAATTTAGTTTTCGCCCATCTTTCGTCTTACATCATTACTTACTTTTTGTGGCCATGTAATATTCTATTATATGAACATGTTTTACCCACTCATCAAATGGGCATTTGGGCTACTTTTACTTTGTCGGTTTGAGTAATGCTATCCTAATCATTTGTGTACAAGGTTTTATTTGAGGCAGGATTTCACTATGTAGCCCTGGCTGCCCTGGAACTCATTGTGTAGACCAGGCTGGAATCAGACTCAGAGATCCTCTGCTTCTGCCTTCTGAGTGCTGGGATTAAAGGTGTGCACCACCAAGTCTGGCTATGTATGGGTTTTCATGTGAGCATGTGTTCCTTTTTGTGTGTCTGCCTTTTTGGTTTTTAGACACTGGTTTCTCTGTACTGCTTTGGAGACTGTCCTGGAACTCGCTCTGTAGACCAGGCTGGCTTCAAACTCACAGAGATCCACCTGCCTCTGCCTCCCAGGTGCAAGGATTAAAAGTACACCACCAACACCTGGCTTCCTTTTTATATGTCATGTGAATACTTTGTATCATTGTCAATTGGAACTACTAAGACAATTTTTGAAACAATTTAAAAAGTCACCAGGCTGATATTTTTACATCATAGTAATATGCAGATTTTTTGAAAGATTTTATTTTTATGTATACAACATTCTGCTTCCATGTATATCTGCACACCAGAAGAGGGCACCAGATCTCATAACGGATGGTTGTGAGCCACCATGTGGTTGCTGGGAATTGAACTCAGGACCTCTGGAAGTGCAGTCAGTGCTCTTAACTTCTGAGCCATCTCTCCAGCCCCTAATTATACAGATTTTTAATGAAGGAATCTCCAGAAATTATCATTTGTTGGCTATTGGTCTGTTTTTATAGACCAATGGATAGAAACTTGCCATGGTAAGTTTCACTGCCAATCTTGTCTTCCCACCCTGTATGGGGTTTCTCTGTGTAACAGCCGTGGCTGACCTTGAACTCTCACTCTGTAGACTAGGCTGACCTCAAACTCAGAAATTGCCTGCCTTTGTCCCCTGAATACTGGGAGAGCAAAGGCATTTGCCACCACCGCCCAGCCAGTTTTCTTAAATAATTCTTTTTGTCTTTCAGTAAGAACGTTCCCTTTAAAATTGTCCGTGCCTCTAATGGTGATGCCTGGGTTGAAGCTCATGGAAAACTGTATTCTCCAAGTCAGATAGGAGCATTTGTGTTGATGAAGATGAAAGAGACTGCAGGTGAGTAGATTTAGTTCTTTCTGGGAAAATTGGAAGTACTGGTGGTTCCTTCTGAGTTTATAGATTCATGATCTGTAAATTATGGGGTTGGAAGCTCTTTGCACAGAAAATTTAGAAATGGCAAAACTTTGGGACTCTTCATACTTAATATGCAGAGTTTAATTTCCCTCATGGTACCTGCTGTTGCTGTAGGGGGCAGTGTAGTGTTTGTGTTAAAACTCAGAAAGCTACATGTTAAACTTAAGTGTAAAGGTCATTGAATGTTGCTAAGTCTCGAGTGAAATGCTAAAGGTAATTTGGAATTCCCAGCCAATACCACCTCTGCTGCTGAAGTACACAAAAGTACTTCCCAGACCTCCAAACATTTTGGGAATAGGTGAGGGGTGACAACACAGGGTATCATGCATCCCAGGTTGCCTTGAGCTTCTGATACTACTGTTTGTAGCCTCTGAAGTACTAGCAGTAGTTAGGGTGATTTATTTTTGAGACTAAATTTCCTATGGTAGTCTATGCTATCCTTAAGCTAACTCTGTGGCCAAGGCTGGCTCAAATTTATAGTAATCTTCCTACCTCAGCTTTCTGACTGCCAAGGTTACAGGCCTGAGCTGTGTAGCCCAAAGCTCATCTTCCTTTTGCTGCATCTGGGTGCTAGATTACAGGGATGTAATGCAGTGTTCAGTGCTGTCTGCAGGTTAAGCTATAAAGGAGGTAAGTGTTGTCTGTTGTTCCACAAGAGGATGAGAAGTGGAATATTAGTAATTCATTTGTAATTTTGAAATCTTTTTTTGTTTGTTTTGGTTTGGTTTGGTTTTTTTTTCAAGAGAGGGTTTCTCTGTGTAGCTTTGGAGCCCCTATCCTGGCACTCGCTCTGGAGACCAGGCTGGCCTCGAACTCCCGAGTGCTGGGATTAAAGGTGTGCGCCACCAACGCCCGGCTCATTAGTAATTTTGATGCTTATTTTTTCTAACATAGTGCCACAATTGAATTTTATTCTTTAATTCTTTTCCAGAAAATTACTTGGGTCACACAGCAAAAAATGCTGTGATCACAGTCCCTGCTTATTTCAATGACTCACAACGACAGGCTACTAAGGATGCTGGCCAGATATCTGGGCTAAATGTACTTCGAGTGATTAATGAACCTACAGCTGCTGCCCTGGCCTATGGTCTGGACAAATCTGAAGATAAAATGTAAGTTAATAAACAGATATTCTCACCTGAATTAGAAGTTTCTAATGTAATTTTTGTTACATTTTTGAACTTTGTGTGGGTGCATGTGTTGAGGGTATATTTGTGCCCATAGTATGTGTGTGGAGGTTAGAAGGTAAAATGAATGTGAGCTAGTTTTTTTTTTTTTTTT